TATTTAGAATTTGCTTCACCCACCAATCTTAAATTTATATTGGATTTTCTTAATTATGTATTGTGAAGTAATAAAAAAATTTTGAGGCCTTTATATATGTACCACATTAGCATATCAACCACCCAAACTTAAAATTTTACTTAAAGATCATCAAACTCTTATGTTTTCGGCATAGATTTGGTGGCCTATTAAGAATTGAAGCTTTAGTGCTTAACATGTTAATACATTGGAATTGAGTGGAAGGTATGTAAATCTCCAAAAAAAATTGGATGTAATAATGTAAGATATTAAAGGTTGCATACAAGATTCTTCAAGTTGTTTGAAGACATAAATTTATCATTTGCAACAATCAATAAGTGAAAAGGAACACACATTTTTCTAAAAGAAAATCCTACAAAAGAAAAATTATGTGTATTGGCTAGTTCAAAAAATTTACTAATAAAATATTATGTTAGAGGGCGCCTCTTCAAGAAACTAGAAAATTTGTTTTATAATATTAAAGATCCCGAACAAGCTAAAAGTTCTTTATACGTGATGGAGGAAGAAATAAAGAGGTTAAACGTTGATGATGAGGATGACTTTAATATTGCATTTTTTATTAGATAAGGGAGATCGATTAATCGATTGATCAAGAGGCGTAAGATGGTTAAGGATGTATATATATGGTAGCCATCAAATAACTAGTGAAGAAGTGAATTGAATAATGAAGGGCAAATTTCAAACCTTATACATATATCAAATTTAAAGCAACAATATGCTTCAAATGATGAAAGAAATCAAGCAGTAGAAGATAGAAACCATGTAATAACAATGATGGATGTTGAATGGTGGTGCCATCGATTGCTGAGTATTAATTCTTGTCCTATGTCTAATCATTCATATTCAGACATAATTTGTTGATTATTGGTTAATGCTAGTTATTAGTTATTAATAAACAATACATGTAAAGTTTTAGTGTTCATCAAACATTGGCGCTTAGTCATTATTAGTGGATGTCAAGTGTTTGTATGAACTGTTAGACATTAGGGCATGGAAGAGCATTACATTATGGATGGAAGATTTTGTATGACAAGCAAAATATCAAGAGCAATGTTGATAGAAGGAAAATAATCAAGATCATCAATAATAGATGATTGAAAGGAATTGCAAAATTAGGAAAGATAATAGGAACATTAAATAGCTTATTTATGCTTCTAAAAGAAATTTGAATGGCATTTTTTTATAATTTAATCATTTATAAAGTTTAAAATCTAATAAATGAAGTAGAAATATGTATTAAGTAATAATAGATTTTGAAGCATGGGCATATTTTGATGTTTATAAGAAATTATATTAAAATATTTCTCATATTTATTAACAAATAACACATTAGAACATGTTCTTCCTTATATAAAAAAAAAAAGATTAAATGGTCCATCTCTTAAGTTGATACTGCTTGATTTTAATGAGCTACTATGGATCACATTGTACAAATTACAATTATTAGTTGTAGTATATAGTGGCCCATGTGGTCTAGCAATAGTTGACAATGATATTGATCTATGATGTTTTATTGATATTTGCTAATGGTAAATTTGTCTATTAATGAACCAAAGGTAACATTGCAAAACTCTTAATTTCATGAACCAAATGAACCTAATGTATATAAAATTTAACTATCATATCCTTTGAAGTATATAATTAAGGAAGCTTTAGAAACAATTAGGGTAAATGAACATGGTTGATGATTAGATACACTCGTAGTATCAATTGTTCTTTGTTCACAAGAATAATTCAACACAATAAACGAAGAATTTGTTAGAGCAATGTAAAAGTTATTGTAATTTTGGGGTGTAAGAATCAAATTTGATATCACCAAATACAATTACAACAATAAATTATCATTTTTTTTGGAAAACTATCAATTCCCTCAAGTGTAATGCAATGTAACAAACTTATTGTGATTTAGTCATTATAGATGTTTTAAAAGGATCATGAATATATAACCAAAATTAGTACAATTAAATAACAATGTAAGATTACTTATGGTGAGAAGAGTCTATCGTTCAAATAGTTTTGTGATTTGAATTTTCTTGATGTCTTTGGAATGAACTTGATGTGGTTATTGCTTTCAAATATGAAAAATTAAAAATGATTAATTTCTATTTTAAATATTCAATCAATCCCCATTTTTTATTTTTCATATTATTTGATCATTACTTTCAAATATGAAAAATGATGTCAAATTTTATATTTAATTTGATAAATTTATAAAAATTTATTGGTCCTCAAATTCATTGGATATTTAAAACAATTTCATGAAATATTTTTTCATTAAGAACTTCATGATATTTAACATGAAGCTTAAAATAAGCGTTCATATATTTATTAGATAATACCTTACACTTATAATTTTTATAATAGGATCACTTTTATTATAATTCTTAAAGTTATTTCAAGTATCAGATGACATTATAATCATGCGGATGATAGCTAACGTTTACAAGCATTAAATATTGAGAAGTTTCAACTTTTTCAATAACTCCTCTTATAAACGTTTCTCAAAAGCTCTATCAACAATTATCTCAAGAACATAGAGACACTTGGATACAACTTAGTTTTTAAAATATTAGGAAGCCTAAATGTTAATTAACAACATTAAAAATATGATGATATAATAAATTTATTGAAGGATCAAGGAGCTCTGACATTAAGTAAAAATTAACATTCAATTAATCTTTAGTTCATCTTTTAATGATATTATTTACCATAAATATCAATAGCCAAGACTGACATAGGGCATTTGATATTCTCTTACAATATAAATTATCGCTTGACCCTTTTTATAAATAAAATAAATATTTTATAATTTCTTTTTTTTTTAATAACAAGTATGCCAATTTTGAAAAAATTTATAAATACACTAAGCTTTTGGATTCTTGTTTGTTTACCATTACAATATGTTGAATTCCAAAATGTCTCATGGGTCACGCCTAAGGGATGGAGTATTGGACAGACAATAGGAGTTGAGAAAAAAGAATTAAAAGCAAAGTACACTATAACACAAGTTTTTTGGGGATAAGTTAAGTAATCATTTCTATCCCTCTATTCATAGATTATAGGGAGTGTCTCCTAAATTACATATTTGTCCGTATCTAAATAGGAACGTTACAACTGATTGATGTGTCATTACACATTTACATATTTGTAACTGACTCTAGGATAATTTATAATGAATAACCGTCATTGACACCGTTTCACATTCATAGCTATTTGAGACTAGATATAAATGATCTGCTAATGTTATCATTCAGTTATTCAATAATCGTTATGTTGGCTCTCAGTTGCTTGGTCGGTTGGAAGGTCATCAGACAACCTTTTTTAGGGAACTCTCCATAGAGATCTTCTTGTCCTTAAAGATGAATTTAGATCACTAGATAGAACGTGTGTCACCGTAATCTGATGGACAACTTTCCTTTAAACAGGAGGTCTTCATAGAAGGTTATCAAGATGTTCTAGGGAGTGACCATTAGTTATCTCTGTGAGGGATCCAAGAATTTGGTAGAGGGTGTTCATGATATACAACATTCCCTTAGATCAGACCCATACTTTTTTTTTTTTTTTTTTTTTTTTTTTTTGTTCAGACATGCATTCTTTCAGTTGGCCCATCATCTGACCGAATGAAAAGATGCTTGAAGCCTTTGCCTTTCAATTGTTCTGGTGTAGTCATTTGGTATTTTTGTAGTGTGATCCGTTGAATTTTCTCAAGATTTGTGTGATCATATGTTCGATGTACACTTTACTTATGGTACTTTTTTATCCTCTGCAAACCATCATAAATAGTTTTTTTTTTTTCACATATTTCGTTCATCTTTGAATAATGGATGATAATATCTAGAACACAACAATCATAACTCTTATAAAAACATAAACAATATTTGAATACGCTAAATAAAAATTATTCTGCATAATGTTCATCAATTTACATGTGCAATCATGTTATTCTTTTTAATTAGTTTATTTTCTAGCTCATATCGACTCAAATTGAAGTACCGAAATAAGCAAGTTTAGATTTTATCAAATTAGCTGAAGGTCGGATCAAAAAATATATATACTAAAACATCTGTAGTGACAGGTGAATTTGGTGTTCAACATCTTAGCATTATACTAAAATATGCTCTTAAATAATTTTAGAGTAGCCTGAATGAGCCACGATGCTTTTTAAATGAAAATATCAGCAGAAAAAAATGACAATCTATACTCAATTGAAATGATTCGGCTGGTAGGAGTTTTTCACTTCCAATTAAAGGGGGAAGGTTTACATACATACCTCAATTCTTATGTATTTACACATTTAGTACATAAACTTCGTTTTTTACATAAATTGCCGCCTTACTCGTACAAAAAAAGTGTATTTAATTTTTCAAAAGTTAAAATAAAGGTATTTTTATGGATGCTAAAGATTTGGATGGTAGAAATATGAAAAGCAAAGTTAAGCTATTAGATATGTAAACACATGGAAATTGGGAGGCATGTCGGTAAATGACCCTCAGAATGTTGTAATAGAATATAAGAGAAATGAACTATTAGTATCAAGCAAAATGCTATGTGGAAAAATTGCATAAATGTTGGACTAAGAAATTATCTCATGAGATATTCAAATTTCATTCTGCTAATCACATAAAAAAATAGAGCTTGAGATGAGTAGAAAGATAAGAGGGACAGAAATGATTTCTATGTAGAGCTATAATATTTCCATTGATCATTAAAAATAGTGGAACCTCTCTTCAATAAAAGCTTCCCCAATTTATAGAGTATTTAATATAATAAGTATATTACATTTTTGTCCCTATTTATCTGGATGGGGACTACACTGGGATGCTTTTGATATTTTATAAGCTACAATTTATTATTTGGCAGTTTTCTAGCTCGATCAGGTCAAGTTAGTTGGCTTGGCTCGGCCGACCGAGCTTTAACTTGGTCAGTTTAATTTAATCAGCTATTTTAGAAGTCCGATCTCCAATAAGTGGTCTTTATAGTTCTGGAGACATCTGAAGATATTTGCTAAACTGATCTTCCCATTAGTTAGGCCACGACCTCTGTACCGGGTCGGCTCCCTCCGGTTTGGAGACAAATTCAGACGGACTTAAAACCGAATCAGATCAGCTCGAAGACCGAATCATTAACGACCATGTTAGTTACCTCAGGATTCATTAAGCTTAAGAATTTGGTCACCGTCCTGAAGGCGACCTATGTTTTCCGATCCAAGTCCACCAAGTACCAGTTTTCTCCGCTCTCACCCAAATCCAATAAATCCTCGATCCTCCCCCAAAAATTAGCCATTTCCGTAAAACACCCACCTGCCGCACTTATCCTTCTTCTTTCTGCATTTACTTAACTTTCCTCACGGGCTCGAAATCTGTAATTTGATCAATTAAATATCCGGCTCATTTCCCGATTACATCGGCTGAAATCAACATACCCTCTCATGGCTTCATCTCCAATCGCCCTTCTTCTCATTCTTTTCCTCTTCTTCTCCCGTCCATCCTCCGCCACTCCAACCACCAATAACTCAAGCGACCATCAGCTAACCATCTGCAAATCCACTCCCTTCCCAAAACTCTGCCTTGACTCCCTCAAACTCTCCATCTCCATCTCCATCAACCCCACCCTCCTCTCTATCCTCCTCCACTCGCTCGAATCCGCCGTCTCCGCTGTTTCAAACATCTCACCACTTCTAAGCTCCCATTCCATCTTCGAAGCCCAGCGCGGCGCTCTTCAGGACTGCGGCGAGCTCCACTCTTCCACCCTCTCCTCCCTCCACCGCTCCTCCTCCCTTCTAAGCTCCTCCACCTCAGCCAAAGCTGTCGCCGAAGCTCAGGCTCATCTAAGCGCTTCCTTAACCAACAAAGAAACCTGCCTTGAAGGTCTTGCCGGCGCGAGGGGCGCGCAGGTACCCGCGCTCGTCAATGCATTGACCAACTCGTACCGTTACGTCAGCAACTCCCTCTCCCTCGTATCCAGTTCCAGCAACCATGGGCGTCGAGGCCGGAAGCTGGAGGCAGAGCCTTCGCCGGGATGGCTTAGAACTCAGGAAAAGCTGCTGTTGGATAGCGGAGATTACAGTGGGTATGATACGGCGTCGGTATTAACGGTGGCGGCAGACGGAAGCGGGAACTTCAGCACGGTGGGGGAAGCTGTAGCGTTCGCACCCAATAACAGCGCGGATCTCACGATTATTGTGGTGAGATCGGGGGTGTACAATGAGAACGTAGAGATTCCAAACTATAAGACGAACATAGCGTTATTGGGGGAGGGCAGCGACGCGACGTTTATTAAAGGCAACCGGAGCGTCGGCGATGGATGGACTACTTTTCGGTCGGCAACCGTCGGTGAGAAATCAATCGATCATGCATCTTTCTATCTCTTTTTAGATTCCTTGTCATGTAGCAATTTAGAAATATGGCGCTCACGTGATCTGAATATGTCGATACACTTCCCCTCGTCGTTTGTTTGTTTCTTCTGTTGACTGTGGTACACTGACGTGTTATATTTAAGTATGCTTTCTAGTTCTGTTTCCCCCCTATATGTATTATTAAAATTTCAGACCTATGGAAATATAAAAAAAAGTAATTACATCCTAGTTGTATATGAAAAATATCACAAGGCAAACGGACAGTAAATTTTCCGGAGTGAGGAACGATCGATTAGATGTCTTATTAACGACCAAAGGATTGGATGCTAACGTAAAAGGTGTTGAGGTCGGATGATCGAAAAACGGACAGAACAGTTGACAGTACAGTTCCGGAGCGAGGAACGATCGATTAGATGTCTTATTGACAACCAAAGGATTGGATGCTAACGTAAAAGGTGTTGAGGTCGGGTGATCGAAAGAATGCAGCGAAAAATTTCCTATAGAACGGTGATTGACTTCAATGCTGATCTAAGAGTTATTTAGTCCCAAATCATGTACCAATGGAGTTAAGGCGTGGCTAACGGTCGACATAGTTCTCATCGGTCGAATATATTTGTCAGTTTTATTATACTCTAATGTTCTTATAATTACTAAAAACCATCAGGGGACAAGCGATCGGAAAGTTAGATCAGACATGAAATGACTCCTACATCATCCAATAGAGAAATGAGCCCGCGGCATATAAGCTGAAAATGTTTGTGGGAAATGATGTCCCTCGAACTTGGAGCAATGACAATCTAAAGAAGTTTTTCCCTTAAAATCATTCCTACTTGCTAAAGAAACGCTACCATGATTTTGTGTAACACCTTCTTACTCTCAAAATCCCTCCATATAATGTAGGAAATTATTTTTTACATACATCCAATAGTTTGTGGTTTATAAGTCCAAAATCTCCCAAATAATATTTTCTTCGCTAATTTTTGACACTCGGGGAATTGAAACTATTACGCTCGTAGAAGTGACCATGTGAAAAGAGGCATATGGGACATATTAGCATTCGAAAACGACAAGCTCCGCTGGGGCTGCACAAATGATCATCATGCACCCAACTACAAAATTGGCATGTGACTGCAAAAAAGTACGCGAGAAGCATTTAACAATTGCCCTTGACCTATGAGACTACTCGGCACCCAACAACAATAAGCTCCGCAAAGGGTACACAAATGATCGTGCCCGAACTACAAAGTTAGCACTCGACAACGCAAGCTCCGCGAAGGGTGTCTAACGTTCGCTCATGGCCTATGGGACGAATTGACACCCGACAACAACAAGCTGCGTGAGAGGTGTGCAAATTATCGTCTTGCATCGAAATTATAAAGTTAGCACCCTACAACGACAAGCTCTGCGAAGGGTGTCTAGCGATCGCATGTGGCCTGTGAAACGAATCAACACTTGACAATGATAAACTTCGCGAGGGTTGCGCAAACGATCATCCAAATTACAAAGTTAGCATTCGACAACGACAAGCTCCACAGGAGATGCTTAACAATTACTCGTGGCCTATGGGACGAATCGACATCTAGCAACAATAAGCTCCATGAGGGGTGCGCAAACGATCATCCTACGCTCAAACTACAAATTTAGCACTCGACAACGATAAATTCCGCGAGGGGTTTCTAACGATTAACAGTGGCCTATAGGACAAATCGACACCCAACAACAACATGCTCTGCGAGGGGTGCGCAAATGATTGTCCTGCGCACAAACTACATAGTTAGACCCGATAGCGTCAAGCTCTGGAAGGGGTGCTATTGCCCGTAGCCTATGTGATGTATCGACAGTCGACAGCGACATGCTCAGTAAGGGTTGTCTAACGATCGCCTGTGACCAATAGGACACATTGACACTCGACAGCGACAAGCTCTACAAGGGCTGCATAAATTATCGTCCCGCACACAAACTACAACGTTAACACTCGGCAGTGACAAACTCTGTGAGTGATGTATTGCGACCGTATATACGTAGTACATGCACACTCGTCAACAACTCATAACTATTGAGATCATCTATACATTCCAACAATCACCAGATGAAAGAGAAAAGGTCGGGGTGACGAAGCCCCTGGTCTCAAAAGTTTCCATATATCATTAAAGTTCAATTACAATTGCAAATAACGATCTACAACAAAATTTTAAACAAAAAAAGAGCAAAAAGATATAAAAGGGACCACTTTAACCCTGAACATTTGAAGACTCACAAGAGTCGGTCTTCCAAGTTCCTTCCATACCTTCAGCACCCTCAGACTGCCCGTGTGTTGATTCCTCTCCAACCTCCAAGTCTGAAAGAAGCGTGTCAAACTCTTCCATCTTTTGTCACTTGGGATCGACCAATTTATGCTTGACAAATCTTTCAATCGCAGGGGAGGTAAGGTTGTGATCTGGCGAGAAAGACCCTTGACGTATGCCTTCTAGATTATCATTGAAGACAACTTCCCTTTCAATTTCGCATTTATGTTGTTGAGCATCAAGTTTTCTCTCCTTGACAGAAAGTCTCAGTCTCTCCTCCATAGCAGCTTTTCGTTTCCACTTCTAAATTAACGAAGCAGATCTCCCGACATCCTTCTCGACTTTATCTAAAAGGAGGACCTAGAAGTGCCAAGCCTGCCAGGCGAGGGCATGATATCGATCCACCGCTTGGAACATATCTCTTCTGCCTATCGATGTCAAGCTTTTCTTGAAGGCAGGAGACCGGAAGAAGTACATCAAAATTGATCGGTAGTCCCCATTCAAAGGAGTGTTAGGGAATCACTCGATCTCCCTGTCGATGAGAGCATAGTGGCTGCTCGTCCAAACATCAAATTCGTGATCGTGTGAGAATGTCTACTTAAGCGGAACTGCCCCCCTTTGCACTCAAGGTGAAGGCAATCCGATATAAGGGACAGGAGCCTTTCCTTCCATGCAGGGAACGTCATTCACTATCGATCTACAACCCCTCGCCTTTTCTCAGAATTAGCCCCAAAAAGATAGGACAAGAGATGCGACTCGCCACCCCTCGCTCCTGCAAAGATATGAACGAGGTCTACCCCGTCGCCGCCAAAACTACTCTAGCTGACGGATGCACTGGTGAATCTCTGGAGTTGGGAAAGCTTGGAGATAGAAGTCCTTCCCAATTCCTTCTGCATAATCTTGCATGTCATATAAGAGCCACAATAATACGTTTCACACATAAACAAATAAGAAAATAGGTAATAGCAACCTCCAGCATCACCCTCGACCAACCTAACAGAATCAGACTGACCCTTACCTCTGCCGAGTGGGGGAAGCCCACCTCTACCCCGAGGCCTCTTCGAAGCCACCCTCTCTTCAGTAGCTCCTCCTGAGCAACCTCTTTATTGTTAGTCGATCTCCACATATCCTTAGTCATGGTAAAGACACCATCCAGAGGAATCATGCATTCGATTACGCTGCAGTTCAAGCATTGAAACAAATAAAGGTGTTGGCCCTCAATCAGTGCCCAATGGTCATGAACGCTCCCTGGTAAGGTTTTCACTTTCTTCACCTCACACTCTGTTGGAGATGTGTAGATCCTCCATCTGTCATCACACGAGGCTACAAATAACTTTGTCTTCCAATGCTTTACCTTTTTTTCAAGTCCCTACAATTGAATCTTAGGACCTAAAACAAATTGAATATATCCATCACGACTTACCTGAAAAGAAGAGAAATTGTTGAAGAGTTTGATCGACCATGGGAATCTCTTCCTCCGACAAAAGAACACATAAGTCATAATGGTGACGATTGTTTTTGGAACAACCTGGGCATGAATGATCTCATAGCGCTTGAAATCGACCGTAACTCTCGACAAAATGACAATCAAGGACCCATCTTAAAATGATCTTTACAAAAGACTAAGGAGAAAAATCACTCGTAGCCCGTTTGTGGCTAGGGTCCAGTTGCAGGAGAATCGTAGGATCCATAACATAACAATATTGGTTCTCTTCTATGTTCGCCGCAGAGAGGACCGAATCTTTGTAGCAGGAATCGAGCCAAATGACTCCTGAGAATACTTCCGAACTATGGAGCCTATGATACTATGTGAGAAAGGAGAAGAGAAGGAAGGAAATAAAAAACCCAGAGAAAAGAAGAAAGGGAAGTGAAACCCTGAGAAAAAGAGAAAGAGGAAAAGGGAAAAGGACAAGGATTCTAAGCCTCCGCACAATCACGTTCATATATATACGTGAAAGGGGAACGCATAGGAAGCTGAAACGCCGTCGATAAAATTGACTTGACAGAACTGTACGTTACCCAAGTAATCATTACAAAAAATAGAAAATGCATTATTTTATTGCATTTTTTTTATTTATTCACAAAAAAGATGGGAAAATCACACCAAACTCTCAGTTGCGACTGAGAGAGGAAAAATATAATTAAGCAATCGCTCGTGGCTTTGTCCGAGACAAGCCCTCGGTGACGAAGTCGTTCATACATAAACTCTCTGCCCAGACTTAAGAGGACATTCTAGCTATCCCTTGGCTGAGCGAGGAGGACCTATCTGACGACCGATAGTCCAAAAACCGACGCATGACTTCCCCGCAATCGGCAAGCATATGCACTCGGAAGACTGCAAATTCCTCACGAGATAGGACAATTTCCTTCTCCACTTGTTCAACTCTCTCCATAACTTCAATAATTCCTTCGTCGTCGTCTCCTTGAGGGAAGAAAAGGAAAGGAGACATAAATTTCCTTTCCCAAAGTCCTATTTATAATGGTTTGAGCACACAAATCTAAGAAAGTTCATTATTTTGAAATAATGTCATTTAATTATTTCATATATGTTAAAAAAAAAATTTCTCCTCGTGTATTGTGCAGCTTTTGAGGAACAAGAGAATCTAAGGACTAAATATGTATATGAAAAAGATGTCAGTAGAAATCTCAAGGCATACAAATGTTTTGGTAGCGAAAAACAATCGATCAAACTCTTATTGACGACTGAAGGATTGGATGCTAATGGAGAAGGCGTTGAGATCAGGCAATCAGAAAAATGCAACGAAAATTTTCCTATAGAACGACGATCGACTCCAAAGCCGATGGACGAGTTACTTAGTCCCGAACCTTGTACCAATGAAGTTAAAGCATAGCGAACGATCGGCTGAGTTCTCGTAGGCCAAATATATTCGTTAGCCTTATTATACTCTAATATACTTGTAATCACTAAAACAAAAATTCCTAAAAATGAGGGGGGCTGACTTGTAATTTTGTAATAACTGTAACATATTTCTATAAATAAGGCGTCCATGTCATGAATTAAAGATATGTCATGAATTAAAGGTAGACTATCTTTTAATGCTCCTTTACTCACTCTGTCTCTCTCTCTTATAGAACACTACATACTTTGAGCTTTTTTCTGCATATTTTTGGATTCAACATTAGTATTTATTAAAAAGGAAATAAATTATTATTTGGACTATTTATGGTTGTCATGATAAAATAGGAAGTATTTTGGAAAAAAAAATTAGGTTAAAATTGTATTACAAAATGGTAAGAATGAATGATATGCATAAAATTACACCTATATTTTATTGGTTCCTTTTGACTGCAGGCGTCACAAGATAGCCATTTAAATTTACTTAAAATATTTATGTAATTGGATTCTAACATCTGTATCGTTGCGAAATTTTAATAACACGCTCGTTAAATTTACATCTTCTCTCATAAAAAATTAATATAAAAACACATTTGATTTTATGAAGTTCACTCAAAACTGACAAGTCTGGACTAAATTTACATCTTTTTCTTTTGTTGCTAAGTAGTTCTCCATTGGAATACCTTTGTCCTCCTATGTTTAGAGGAACACAATACTTAATTTCTTCAACCAATTCCTGATCATATGTTGGGTTAATTATGATCACTTGGCTTTTAGTTGTAGATTTTCCTAGCTTTAATTCTTTGTCGACACTGAATAACTTTAGCATGCCAACCTTTTCCTCGTGGTTGAATTAAAGCTTCATCTCGCTTTTTCCTGTTAGCCATCGATAAATTACTATTAAACAAATAACAGTGCTTCTTTGCAAGCCTTAATTGTTTTCCGATATAACCCGCAGCTGTCTCCGGACAAGGATTCCTGGCCCGTGATCTAACCTTCCAAAACACCGCCGGTCCGACGAAAGGCCAAGCCGTTGCCCTGCGCATCAACGCCGACTTCTCCGCCGTTTATCTCTGCACCATCGACGGCTACCAAGACACCCTCTACGTCCACTCCTTCCGCCAATTCTACCGCGAAACCCACGTCTTCGGCACCGTCGACTTCATCTTCGGCAACGCCGCCGCCGTCTTCCAAGCCTGCAACCTCATCGCCAAGAAGCCCATGCCTGGCCAATCTAACATCGTCACCGCGCAGTCCCGCGACGATCCCAACGAAAGCACCGGCATCTCCATACAAAACTGCTCCGTGCTGGCATCAGAGGACCTCGCGTCGGATAAAGGGGGGACGAAGACCTATTTGGGGAGACCGTGGCGGCTGTATTCGACGACGGTGTTTATTGAATCTTTTATTGATGGACACGTGGATCCGGCGGGGTGGACGAAGTGGTCGCAGGAGCGGGGGGAGGAGGGATTGGATACGTTGTATTACGGGGAGTACATGAATTTTGGGCCGGGAGCGGCGACGGAGAACAGAGTTGCGTGGCCAGGGTTTCACTTGATGGAGTATGATGACGCGTATAATTTTACGGTTTCGGAATTTATATACGGAGATATGTGGCTGGATTTCGACTCCGTTCCGTATGATGATGGTATTTGAATCTGAGGTTGGGAAGCGTTAATGGAAGGCTACAGGAATGTGTTTTTTTTGTCCGGGCAGATGAGCGTTCGATTCAGTATTTTTAAGATTCTTCAATTTATTTTTAAGTGCATGTATTGGAGTACAGGATTACAAAAATGTTCATTTAGTGCTTCGCTAAAGGGATCAGAGCTTTTTGGCTCCGCAGTTGCAGGTGCTCTTAAAGGGCTAACTATTTTTCTGCACAAAAATGTTCATTTAGTGCTTCGCTAAAGGGATCAAAGCTTTTTGGCTCCGCAGTTGGAGGGTGGGCTGGAAACGAGCCGC